GGATCTTCAAAAAAATTACCAGCCCTGGTATTATACCCGGAATTAAATATAGTCCTCTTAGCACATTGGGCAGCACTTTTGGGATGCGACGTTGTACTTCCAAAATTCCTTAATGTATCTTCCCTTGTTCCTCTCCCCCAACCCCAGCAGATTCGTAGTTTGGTAAATTACCCAGTTCAAGCCCCATCTCTGTCAGAAAGGAGTTCACTCTTTCTCTACTTTTCTCACCATCATCATTTTCTTGGTTCTGGGATCCTACAGCAGAAAACATCAAAGGGAAACTTTGTGGTCCGGGTGCAGTGACTCATGCCTGTAATCCCAGCACTTTGGGAGGCCAAGGTGGGTGAATTTTTTGAGGTCAGGAGTTCGAGACGAGCCTGACCAACATGGTAAAACCCTACGTCTACTAAAAATACAAAAATTAGCTGGTCGAGGTGGCGCATGCCTGTAATCCCAGCTACTTGGGAGGCTGAAGCAGGAGAATTACTTGAACCTGAGAGGCAGAGGTTGCAGTGAGCCAAGACTGTGCCACTGCACTCAAGCCTGGGTGACAGAGCTGTCTGTCTCAAAAAAAAAAAAAAGGACACTTTGTGTGTGAGGCAGAAAGCAATTCTGGTGTGTAAATATTTGTCCTTCAGTTACCTGTATTATTTCTCAAGGCATTGTGAAAAATAATAATTGCTAGCCTTCCGGGCCAGCTCCTTGAGCGTGCTGCTTGTACACTGGAATGCACCCACGCTCAGAAGGACCCTGCACTTGGCTTACTACTCTGAGATTGTCATTTTGAATTTCTTAATAAATAGTGAAAGAAGGGCTTTGCATTTTCATATTGTACTGGGCTCCTGTGATCCTGTTAACATTTTAGGGCACTTTCTATGCATCAGACTCCATTCTAAACCTTCACCCTGTTAAACATGAGTGGCTGGAGTACCACCAGACTGTATACATTTCCTCCATTACTTAAGGTAATTTGCAGGAATCTGTTTCCTTGCCACTGAAAAGTGCTTAACTGAGAGGGGCAGGGGTGACACTTACTCAGCAAGACCTTCCTAGGCAACCCTGTTTTAAAAAGTAAAAACAAGACCGGGGGTGCAATGCCTTACACCTGTAATCTCAGCACTTTGGAAGCCGAGGTAGGCAGATCACTTGAGGTCAGGAGTTCGAGCCCAGCCTGGCCAAAATGGTGAAACCCCGTCTCTATTGAAAATAGAAAAATTGGCCAGGCGCGGTGGCTCAAGCCTGTAATCCCAGCACTTTGGGAGGCCGAGGAGGGTGGATCACAAGGTCAAGAGATCGAGACCATCCTGGTCAACATGGTGAAACCCCGTCTCTACTAAAAATACAAAAATTAGCTGGGCATGGTGGTGCGTGCCTGTAATCCCAGCTACTCAGGAGGCTGAGGCAGGAGAATTGCCTGAACCCGGGAGGCGGAGGTTGCGGTGAGCCGAGATCATGCCATTGCACTCCAGCCTGGGTAACATGAGTGAAACTCCGTCTCAAAAAAAAAAAGAAAGGAAGAAAATAGAAAAATTAGCCAGGCATGGTGGTGGGCGCCTATAGTTCCAGCTACTCGGGAGGCTGACAGAGGTAAATTGCTGGAACCCAGGAGGTGGAGGCTGCGGTAAGTTGAGATCCAGACACTGCATTCCAGCCTAGGCAACAGAGCAAGACTGTGTCTCAAAAAATAAAATAAAAGTACATAAAAATCAAAACCAAGAAAAAACCTATTGCATTAGTTTCTTTCATATCACAAATCTGCAATTATTTTGTTTACTTATTTTCTCATTGTCCCCTCTAGAAGTATAAGCTCTATGTTTTTCATTACTGAATTTCAAGCTCCTAGCACGTCTGACACATAACGGGTAATCGAACTTTTTGTTTTGTTTTTCACCTCCGCCTCCCAAAGTGCTGGAATCACAGGTGTAAACTGCCAGGTCTCCATATGCAAGCCTGGAGCCTGAAAGTCTGAAGTCCTGCTGGCCTCGGCTCAAGTCTCCCACCTCCTGCCCGCATTCGCCATTGTCCCTGATTGCCCAGCTGAGCTTCCTCGGACGAGCCCCTCACCCAACCCTGCCATCTTAACTGTTCTCATGATAAATACCTCTCACCGAACCCCACCACTGTAACTGAACTTACTCTGCAACACCCCCACCCCCCAAAAAACTACCCAAACCTATAAAGCCAACTCCTATCCCACTGCCCTTTGCTAATGCCCTTTTCGGCCTTAGCCCACCTGCACCCAGCTGAATAAACAGCCATGTTGCCCACACAAAGCCTATTTGGAAGGTCTCTTCATTCAAAGCGCCCTTTTTTTCAACATAAACCACCTTGCCGGGCCCAACATTTTAATAAATTAAGCATGCAAATCTTCCTGGGAAACAAAAATTTTAAATAGCTCTGCTACAGATTGCTACAAACTATCATCACCTGAATCAAATCACTTAATTGTCTTAGATACTGATTGATACAAAACTAATGCTTTTATGGCTTTTTATGAAATAAAAGCTCATTTAATTAAATAGTAGTTGAATCCCTGCTACTTGCTTGGCACTGTGCCACACGCTGGAGGCATTCTAACTAGAGCTCCCCCTTCTCCAGATGTTGACTCTTATGGAGCAGGTAATGGCTCTCAATAGGGTCTCCAAAGTCAAAACTATACTAAAGATTATTTGCTATTTTCTTGCTCATTCACTTACAAACTGTTAAAAACGCATGCTTTGAAAGAGAAGACTCCCTAAACAGGCTTTGTGTGAACAATATAGCTGTTTATTTACCTGGGCGCATGTGGGCTAAGGCAGAAAAGGGCGTTGTCGAAGGGCGGTGGGATAGTTGGTTTTTTTTTGTTTGTTTTTTTGTTTTTTTGTTTTTTTTTTAAAGAAAATCACTTTATTCTAATTAACTCACAAAGAATAAAATCATAACAGCTAGTTTAAGGAGACCACACAAACATTTGACCAGCTCCAAATTCTACAGAGTAGGAACACCCCCTTCCATTTCAATTCTGAAGCAAGGAAGCTAGGAATGACAGGAGAGGTTTAACTGACGGCTACAATTTATACCTTCACTATCAATTACATTTTTATATTAAATTAACTTGGTTATGAGAGCTGGTTTTCCATTTCTCCAGGTTGAACTTCTTGATTAGGTCAATCCGTTTGCAAGTCGGCACTGTTTCAGCACCTCACTGAAACCCTCACAGAGCTTGATGTCACCCTGGTTCTGGGCACACTCCAAGACCTGTTTGATCTCATAGAAGCAAGGCTGCTGCTGCTGTGCTGGCTGGGTTCCCTGAGGCTCCTGGTAAGTGATGTCAGGCCTCGCAGGCTCAGGATCACTTCCTCCACTGAAACCCCCAGTAATGGCGTGGCCCAGTGTGTGCCCCACAGCAGAGCCCACAGCCATGCCAGCTGCAGTGGTTGCCATCTGGGACAGCAGACCTGGCTGCCAGGGCGCAGCAGCAGAGACCCAACTGCAGAGGGGGGTGCCGCTGCTGGTGGCTGAGCGGCTGGTGGTGGCCTGGGCGCAGCTCTCATCTGAAGGGCCCGGCTGGCCGGAGGGGCCATGCGGGAGGTGCGGCTTAGGCTTCCACTCTGCATCCTAGCTACGGGAGGGTGGCGGGGGATGGGGGGGTTCGGCCTTTAGACGTGCAATAACCAGGGAAGAGCTCAGCGGCTTCTCAGGAGTTGGTTTTATAGGTTGGGGCGAATCTTTTGGGGAGGGGGCAGGGGTGTTACGGAGTGAGATCAGTTACAGTGGTGGGGGTAGGGGGCAAGGAGTATACATTACTATACGTTCAGTTACAATGTCGGGTGGGGTAAGAGTAGTTAAGATGGTAGGGTCGGGTGAGGAGTATTCACATTATCATAATAACAATTAAGATGGCAGCTTGGGGTGAGAACCTTAATGTCCGGGGGAAGCTCCTCTGGGCGATCAGGGATAATGGCGAACGCCGCGGGGTAGTGGGGGGTAATCAGCCGAGGCAGGAAGGACTTTAGACTTTCTGGGTCCACGCTTGCACGTGGAGGCCTGACACAAATGTGTTTTCCAGAGATGTGTGAAAAAGGATAGTGGAGTGTGTCAAAGTTTTCTCCATTTTAAGTTCTCATTCAGTAACTACTTATTAATAGGTATAACCCATACTTAAAAAAAAAAAAGCACTTTGGAATCTTCCATTATCTACAAGAATGTAAAGGGGTTTTGAGACAAAAAGTTTTGAGAACCACTGCAGTACAGGTCCGACGCATATCCTGGAAGCCGTCAGCAACAACGAATACACTACAGATGACCACGGATCCTACAGTGTGAGGTCTGGTCCCACCCAGAAGGTTGGGAGCCAAATGCGTGGCTAAGTGGAGATGGCCAGGGTTTGGGTGAGGGGCAAAGGCGGGTTGAAAGCACTGGAAAGACAGGCCCGACTCTGCGCTAGGGAACACACCTCCTTCCTTTGCACACTTAATACAAGAAGCTATAAATCCTTCTCTTGCTGGTCAGGGTATAACCTGGACCAAACGGGAATTTTTTTTTTTTTCTTAATAACACCATGCTTCAATAGTGGAACCAACAAACGGGAAATTTAAGGCAAAATAAAAGCAGAGCATAACTTGGACTAAAGGGGAAATTTAAGGCAGCCTCTCTAAATCACATAGCTTAAAAATCTGTCCACTTAGTAACAACTGCTAAGTTCGGCCTAAAGACTAAAACACCTGCTTCCTGCTTTGGGGGTGGGGATGAACGGGAGTGCTAAGAAGAAAAGGGCGGGAAAGTGAAGACCAGAAGAAAGAACAGGCTAGGGGGAGGGGAAGAGGCACCGCAAGGGGCCAATGAACAAGACCGAGGCTGAGGCGCGTGCGCCAGTTCTCCGCATGCGCAGGCGCACGTCTGTTGATCTCGCGGGAAAGAACCGTTGCCGGCCCGGCTTTACGCCGAGGTAGGAGGGGGGAGTGGAGGCGGGAGTGAAGTCTCGCGAGAAGAGGCGGTTGCAGTAGCGGAGCCTTCTGGCCGTGTGTGTGAGGCTTCGGCGTCGGAGCCGCGGACGGTTTGCTGAACCCGTTAGTGCGCCCGGCCGAGACACGCCGCCGCCATGTCTCGCTACCTGCGTCCCCCAAATACGTCTCTGTTCGTCAGGAACGTGGCCGACGACACCAGGTGGGTACAAGGCAGGTACTCCGGGCCTAGGCGGGGAGGCCTCAGGCTCCCGGAGAGGACCCTGGCGGTGGCGGCTCGGGGCCGGGGGAGGGGACAGGGCGAAGATGGCGGGTCCCGCTCCCGCTTTGGCGCCGAACTAGGCCGCGTAGCCGGCCTCAGCCGCCGGGTGGAAGTGAGGGCCGCGCCTTTGCCGTCACCCAGCCGCGTGGCGGGGTTTCTCGGTCCCCCTCCCCCTCCGCAGTTCGCAGCCCCTTTTTCCCCGCTTCTTGCCGGCGCGGGCAGCCCCCGCCGCGGCCTTTCCGCCACCCGACGGCCGCTCCCCATTGATTCGAAGTTCACGTTCTTCGGGGTGCACGCCCCCTTGGCCCAGAGATTTTTTTTTCCCCAGCTGAAAATGAGTAAGATGAAATAACGGGATCGAGGGAGAGGAATGCTGGTTTTATCCTTTTTGTTGTTGCCGTTGTTAATATTTGGGGTTTTTAATCAGTTGGAAGTGTTTGGAGAAAGGGAACGTTGAGATTTGGGGAGTTAGATTCTTCCAGTTACATGTTGCGAGTAGTTTTTATTTCCTGGAAATTCTGGTCACCCTTTGAAAAGGGAGGTTTAGGAAGCCTCAATCATTAGGACGTTGACAGCCAAATTAGATTAATTCAGACCTACCTTAAGTAGGCTTTGTTCTCACCATTCCCTTGTTTCGAGTTGCTTCCAGATTGTTTTGGAAGAGGTCTTAACTACAAATAAGGCTTCGTATTTCACAAATAATCTACACACAGAAAATACATGGTTTAGGTTTTTTGGTGTTTTTGTTGGGTTTATTTTTTGCTAGCTTTGTGATTCTTTTTTTGTCTTAAGTTTAAGCAGGAAAGACATAATAGTAATTATGTTAGCGTCTAGAGAAATTTTCCCTTTACGTCATTTTGACATTAGTTAAGGCATTCGATATTTGTGACTTTTTCAGCCCATATTTGCCTTCTGTTAAGTGTCTAAACCTGTCGCTAAAATTGGGGAGTAAAAATAAGTGCTTGGTGTTTTTCAAAGTAAAACAAAAAATAGCAATGCTTATATACAACCTAATGCTGTTGTACCTTTTATGAAAAACTAAGGCTATAGATAAAAACAAAGTTCATTCCCAACAACATCGAATGTCTGTTCTGTTAATGTAAACTGCATTTTTTATCTTTCAAATTCTCGAACCTAGCTTTCCTTTATCAAAAAGATATATTGCCTATACACCTTGAGAACTTGAACATAAAAATTTGAGGTCTTTTTGTGATGTTTTAGGTCTGAAGATTTACGGCGTGAATTTGGTCGTTACGGTCCTATAGTTGATGTGTATGTTCCACTTGATTTCTACACTCGCCGTCCAAGAGGATTTGCTTATGTTCAATATCCTTTCTTCAGATGGCTGATTAGTGAGGGGTGTTGAAGTTTGAAATTCAAGTTTATGTAAGTGGTAACATCTAAAAAGTGGTTTGTTTTTGTCCTCTAATGTCTGTGTCTTCAAATTTTTGAAAATTAATTCTGACTCACACATTGCTCTTGTTGTTTCTTAAAGTTAATCCAAAAATGGTAAAATATTTAAATTCCCATTCATGCTTCTGAAACTCAAATCAATGATTATATGTGTGATTTAAATTTGAATGCACTCTGGTTGCTACTACCTTTAAGTCCATTGAAAGTTAATATGTTCTTGTGCTTAGCAATTAAAATTTGGTATTCTTGTTTGTTAATTTGAATCACTTGATCAAAAACAAATTGTATAACAATGAGGTAAACTTCTTTAATATTGTCCCCTAATTTGCTGTCCTCTGTTGTTACCTCAGAGAATGTAAAGCTGTACAGTTATGGCGACCCCAAAGAGAAAGCATGAAAGAACCTTTAGAGTAGAGTTCAACACTTAAGGCAAGTAGACAAGCCAAAGACCTCTTAAGGATCAGGCTTGAAGAGAAGGGAGAGTTTGGGAAAAGAAAAAATAAAGAAAAGCTGGAAGAAGGACAAGCCTAATGGGAGACAAAGCCTCGCTTTATCTACAAAAGGGGGAAAAGGTTGTTTTTCAAAGTTAAAGATAAAGCCATCTGTCATATTTGGCCAAGCATCTCATGACAAGTCCTTCTGACAAGCACTTAAAGAGTTAAAGGTCAAGATGAAGTTGAATTGAATGATGGCCAAGATTAAAGGAGTCATACCTGATGTATCCTACAGAATAACTATTTTTCTTTTCTTTTTTTTTTTTTTTAATGTTTTGTAAGCAGTTAATTTTCAAAATTATTCTGGTTTGGTCTAGTGACAAAACCTATAACTTGGTTTGTGTGGGCCTTTGATGTTGTGATTGTGGTCTTGTATAAATGCACTCTCTCTTAAAGTTAAAGTGTAACAGGTTGTATATTGTTAAGATTAAATTCAGCATATTTTGATTTTGGACCCGGTGGTCAGATGTCACAGAGTAGCAGGCAGCGCTCTTTGGAGTAGCATGGGGTTCTGGGGTTAAGCCACAGAGCCCTGCTTAAAGGAGAGACAGGTGTATGCACTGGGGACTACTTAGAAACAGCTTGGGTGGTCTTACAGGGTCAGAGCCACTAGAAATTCTGTTTATATATAGATTTTAAAGTGCTTGCTGGGGACACATAAACCCTTAACTTCTGGAATTTAGCCCTGTGAAGACTGCTAGCCCTGTGCTCCTTTATCGAAAATGATAAGTTGGCCCTGAATGAGTTGCAGAAGGCATTCTCCCTAATGTAGATGCCTAATTGGGACCTATGAGAGACTGGTCCCTGACCCAGAGTTTCAGGTGATCTTACTTCCTCCTTTAAGTGTGAGATCATCTCCCTGCAACAAGGGTTTGGGTTGTGGACCTGAAACTAGGAAAAATTCTTCCTGCTTAAATTCAGTGGGCCTCCTGAAACTTATAATACATTAGTGGAGTCCTTGTGAGACAGGGAAAAGCCAAAAACTCCTGCAGGGCCAGCTGTCAAGGACAATGGTGAGAATTGGTTGCAAACCTCTATTACAGAGAAGATAATTGCTTTATCTGGCTTTCTTTTTTTTTTTTTTGAAATGGAGTTTCGCTCTTGTTACCCAGGCTGGAGTGCAATGGCACGATCTCGGCTCACCGCAACCTCTGCCTCCTGGGTTCAGGCAATTCTCCTGCCTCAGCCTCCTGAGTAGCTGGGATTACAGGCACGCGCCACCATGCCCGGCTGATTTTTTGTATTTTTAGTAGAGACGGGGTTTCACCATGTTGATCAGGATGGTCTCGATGTCTTGACCTCGTGATCCACCCTCCTCGGCCTCCCAAAGTGCTGGGATTACAGGCTTGAGCCACCGTGCCTGGCCATATCTGGTTTATTAAATGAAGGTAGCAGTACATTCTGTCTTACAATATAAACCTAATTTTACCTAGTGTTGGGTGGCCCAGGAATCAAGGTCAGTAGTAGTTTTGATTCAAGATTATGTGATACTTGAGGCAGAAAAGGGTAGTAATTCAAAGCAATCTAAAGGAGAATGATAATTTTTAATACATATTCAGTAAGTCTGTGGTCTTAAAATAGATGAAATAACAGGCTTATCAATTTCGTTTTTGAAAAGACCATAAAGTACAGATTTCTCCATGACTGACATCAGAGTGATGCTTAGCTGCCTTTGCTGCTACTGTCTCCTGACTCAATTCCCAGTTAGCCTTTTCTTCCTATCCCTGGCTTACCGAGTACAGTAGAAACTTGCCATCAGCCCGGGATTCTGTTTTTGAGGATAGCCCCAGAGAGGACACTCTGCTCTCATTAATAATTTTTACGGCTCTCAATAGAAATCCTTTTTATACTTATATTCTGTCTCCTGGGGTAACAAAGTAGTATACCCATTAAGTGAACTTACTCCTTCTAATTAGTTTAGAGCCCAGCTGCATTAACCTTGAGGGATGTTCAGTTACAGTATTCAAGGTTCTAAATTCCCTGTCAGCCTTTGCCTTTTCATGTTGAAAGCCCAGTTATTTAAACCTTGTCCTTCCATTTAATCTATTCATAATGGCCTCAGGAAGAGAGAGCTGGAAACCTGCAGTCCTTAATTCCGTTCAGAACAAAGAGTGAATAGTAAGGCAGACCTTTTAGTCTCTAGAATAAAAGAATACCAGTATCAGTCTCAAAAAAGAAGTGTACAATTTATAAAATACCTCTCCAAATCTTCAGTCTTGTGTTGTCTCAAATTTAGGAAATAAAAATGTGCAAACTAGAATAGTGATTTTTTTAGGATAGAATGAAACTCTATACCCGGACCTAACCTAGCTCTCTTTCCAAACCATTGGTACCAAACACTGCCTTGAATGTGTACTTCGTCTCTGTCATGATGATGCTTTTAGGAAAGGAGCTAGGTTTGGACAGAATAACTATGTAAAGCCAGGAGTTCTCATAGTATCGTTGCTGACATGACCAGGGAAGACAAAGGGCTTAGCTTCTCAGATCAAAAACAAGTACCAGCAGTTCTTGCTTAAAGCTGGTAAATAATACCTTGAAATTCTCAAGTTAGAAACCAGTCTCAAACCCATTTCTTTGCAAGAAGTTGTATATTTCGGATCATGGTTAGGGTTTTCCGGTCTAGGAGTCCTTACAGTGGTCTGTTGTTTCTTGATAGCATGCTTTTACAGTCTGCATGGACGTAATAATGCTTTTGGTATAGTGATTGTCTTTAGTACTGCTTGACTCTGTCTCGATGCCCACAAATGGCTAGCATGCTTGTCTTCCCATGCAGTGCAAGGAAGACAGTTAAATAGTAGTATTAGCTATATATGAAAAAGAAAATAGCGAAATTAATTTGAGGTTAATACTTTCGTCTCTTGTAAGGTAAGGTATATACTGCTTGCTTACACAAGAACTATTGGCATTTTCTTTTTTTCATTTGAAACATACGAAAAAACAGTGTTTTGGTTTTAAGAAACTTTTAACATACAACATAGAACTGATATTTGTTTTTCTTTTTTGTAAACTTAATTCTTAAAACTTAGGAAAATTCTTGGATAGGAAGGACAACTTGGTGATTCAGCTATAACATCTTATTTCAATAATCACTTTACTGCAATATGTATTCATACATTTTCAAATGTGTGCCTTAGGAAATCACAAGTGCTTTTATACTGTGAAGTGTTAATGGCTGAATCCAACTGAATCACCAACTAGTAAGTGGGGTCTGGTTGATTTTCTGGAATAATACTGGGAGATTGTGAATTGTTCCAGATGTATGAACTGAACTTTCATTCATTATCAAAGTTTGCAAAACTTCCCAAGCCCCTTAACATTTAGCACATTTGAGGATGTTCGTGATGCAGAAGATGCTTTACATAATTTGGACAGAAAGTGGATTTGTGGACGGCAGATTGAAATACAGTTTGCCCAGGGGGATCGGAAGAGTAAGTACCCTTATACCTGATGTGTATGATGCATTATTTTTTAGGTAGTGTTTTGAGATTTTTTTTTAAAGAATTTAAGCAATTTGTGTATCTGTTCAAAACTCAAAAGGATCTTTTTTGGGGTTTTTGTTTTGTTTTGTTTTTTTGAGACAGCCTCACTCTGTCACTCAGGCTGGAGTGCAGTGGTTTAATCTCAGCTCACTGCAACCTCCACCTCCTGGGTTCAAACGGTTCTCATGCCTCAGCCTTCTGACTAGCTGAGATTACAGATGCATGCCACCACACCTGGCTGATTTTTGTATTTTTAGTAGAGATGGAGTTTCACCATTTTGGCCAGGCCGCCCTCAAACTCCCCACCTCAAGTAATCGCACACCTCAGCCTCCCAAAGTGCCGGGATTACAGACGTGAGCCACTACACTTGGCCCAAAAGGATCATTTTTAAGAAAATGGGGTGTCTTGAATATTTCATCATATTTTTCAAATGTATTATAAAGTTTTGGAGAAGGTATAGGTGGGAGGTGGAGATTGTAGTGCCTGAAATATATCTAGACTCTTGTTTTTTACCTGCCTTCAGGTAATCCACCTGCCTCGGCCTCCCAAAGTGCTAGGATTATAGGCGTGAGCCACTACGCCCGGCCTTTATATCTAGCCTCTTCTGAAAGTTAACCAACTTAATGCAGGCTAACCAGATGTTTGCTGCATACTTATGAAGCAGGAGTACAGGTTTTAGAGTCAAATAGACCTGTGTTTGAATTCTGGCTTAGCCATTATGTTGTCTTGGGCAAGATACCAATTAAGAGATTAAAATAGCTGCTGAAGAGAAGAGCAACACTTGAGTAGACACAAACTATTGGTAACTGGTTCTTGAGTTGGGTAATAGATTCCTGGTTATGCATTAATGTACTCTAATATGTAAAATATCTGCTTCATTGAATTGAATGAGATAAGAATTGAAGTGTATATAAGGCATTTAGGAATGCCTTATTCTACTTAGGTTCTTACCACCTATAAATATTTTGTTGGGTTCCTAATGAATAGAATCCATGGCGGGATCATTCCAAATCAATACAGTTCAGTGGTCATTTTTTTCAACCGTTTAAGAATGTAAAATGGCAGCATGAAAATAAACCAATACTCTGTGGTTAGAAAAGAAATGTAAAATGGATGGATGTGGTAGCTCATACCTGTAATCCCACCATTTTAGGAGGCCTAGGCAGGAGAAGTGCCTGAGCCCAGGAGTTTGAGACCAGCCTGGGCAGCAAAGTGAGATCCCTGTCTTTACAAAAAAGAAAATAAATTAGTCAGGCATGGTAGCGCATACCTATGGTCCCAGCTAGGCAGGAGAATCAGTTGGGCCCAGGAGGTTGAGGCTGCAGTGAGCCATGTTCCACAACTGTACTCCAGCCTGGGTAACAGCAAGACCGACTCTCAAAAAGCCACTCACTCCCATTTTGAGTTTAAAAAAAATCCTTTTATGGTATAGGTTCCCAGTGTTGGAATAGTTGGCAGGTCTTGGCTAACAAGCTAGGTGGTGAAAGATTTTGAAAATAGTTGGAGATAGGGCTGGGCACGGTGGCTCACGCCTGTAATCCCAGCATTTAGGGAGGCCATGGTGGGCAATCACAAGGTCAGGAGATTTAGACCAGCCTGACCAACATGGTGAAACACCATCTCTACTAAAAATACAAAAAATTAGCTGGGCGTGGTGGTGAGCACCTGTAATCCCAAGTACTTAATAGGCTGAGGCAGGAGAATCACTTGAGCCCCGGAGGCGGCAGTAGCCACTGAGATTGCGCCACTGCATTCCAGCCCTGGCTACAAAGTGACTCTTGTCTCAAAAAAAAGTTGGGTATAATCGAGTATTATTTTTAACAGAAAACAGTCTTCTAGTATATTTTCTTGAAAATAAATACATAGGTCGGGTGGGCGGATCACCTGAAGTCAGGAGTTTGAGGCCAGCCTGACCAACATGGAGAAACACCATCTCTACTAAAAATAAAAAATCAACTAGGCATGGTGGCGCATGCCTGTAATCCCAGTTACTGAGGAGGCTGAGGCAGGAGAATCGCTTGAACCCGGGAGGCACAGGCTGCGGTGAGCCAAGATCACACCATCTCACTTCCACCCTGGGCAACAAGAGCGAAACTCCGTCTCAAAAAAAGAAAAAGAAAAACATGCCTTTTCTAAGGTCAATATTTGCAGTTAACTTCAACCCAACCTAGGCTAAATCACTTTCTGCATCTGCATCTCACACCAAAACTACAAGACACCTCTAAAACAGACTCCAGGCTGGGTGCAGTGGCTGACACCTGTAATCCCACCACTTTGGAAGGCTGAGGCGGGCAGATCGTTTCAGGTCAGGAATTTGAGACCAGCCTGGCCAATATGGTGAAACGTGTCTCTACTAAAATGCAAAAATTAGCCAGGTATGGTGGCACGTTTCTGTAATCTCAGCTACTCAGGAGGCTGAGGCAGAAGAATGGCTTGAACTGGTGTGGGGTGGAGGTTGCAGTGAGCTGAGATTGCACCACTGCACTCCAACCTGGGTGACAGAGCAAGACTCTGGTCTCAAAAAAAAAAAAAAAAACACTCCAAAACACACACTTTGTTATTGTTATTATTATTTTTTTAGAGACAGGGTCTCTGTCCCCCAGGCTGACATGCAGTTGTGTGATCACGATTCCTGCATCCTCAAACTCATGAGCTCAAGTGATCTTCTCACCTCAGCCTCCCGGGTAGCTGGAATACATATGTGAGCCACCAGGCACAGCTAATTATTTTTTGTAGCAATGGGATATTGCTATGTTGCCCCAGGCTGGTCTCAGACTCCTGGCTCAAATGATCCTCCCACTTAAACCTCCCAAAGTACTGGGTTTACAGGTGTGAGCCACCACGCCTGGTCATACACACTCATGCAGAGATTTTTTTACCCTATTTATTGAGGGCTTCAATACTGTTTTTAGTATTTCTAAGTATTTCTGTTACTTGTATTTCCTAGCACCAAATCAGATGAAAGCCAAGGAAGGGAGGAATGTGTACAGTTCTTCACGCTATGATGATTATGACAGATACAGACGTTCAAGAAGCCGAAGTTACGAAAGAAGGAGATCAAGAAGTCGGTCTTTTGATTACAACTATAGAAGATCGTATAGTCCTAGAAAGTAAGTGTGATGCGTAAACACAGTGATCTGTTTAAAAAAAGATGTATTTGTTAGCATTTAATTTTTTTTTACCTTTTTGTATGCTTTTAATTATATACGTTGAATGTTTCATTGAGACAAAAAAATCTTTTAGCATTTTAAAAGTTTTATGGCTGGATGCAGTGGCTCACGCCTGTAATCCCAGCACTTTGGGAGGTTGAGGCGGGCAGATCACCTAAAGTTGGGGGTTTGAGACCAGCCTTACCAACATGGTGAAACCTCATCTCTGCGAAAAATACAAAAATTATCCGGGCGTAGTGGTGGGCGCCTGTAATCCCAGTTACTTGGGAGGCTGAGGCAGGAGAATCGCTTGAACCCGAGAGGCGGAGGTTGCAATGAGCTGATACTGCGCCATTGGATTCCAGCCTGGGTGACAGAGTGAGACTCCATCTCAAAAAAAAAGAAAAGTTTTATGGTTTACTTTAATTAGAAATTTTGCCTCTACAAATAGATATTTGTCACTGCTTTTTCTGATATGCTTTTTAGCAGTAGACCGACTGGAAGACCACGGCGTAGCAGAAGCCATTCCGACAATGATAGGTAAATAACTTTGCTTTGAAAAAGACTCATGTGTTTTTTAATTTCAGAGTGAACTTTTGCTCTAAAAGTAACAAATTTGATTAATATAGAATCTAATTTTTACTCTAATTATATCTCTCCTCTGTTTTGAAAGATTCAAACACCGAAATCGATCTTTTTCAAGATCTAAATCCAATTCAAGATCACGGTCCAAGTCCCAGCCCAAGAAAGAAATGAAGGCTAAATCACGTTCTAGGTCTGCATCTCACACCAAAACTAGAGGCACCTCTAAAACAGATTCCAAAACACATTATAAGTCTGGCTCAAGATATGAAAAGGAATCAAGGAAAAAAGAACCACCTAGATCCAAATCTCAGTCAAGATCACAGTCTAGGTCTAGGTCAAAATCTAGATCAAGGTCTTGGACTAGTCCTAAGTCCAGTGGCCACTGATAGTATAAACCATGGTCATTTTTAGGCATGTATCATTTACTCATAGTTTGGTTTACTTAAATTATCAGGAATACAATGTTGCAATGATGCTTAAAAAACACTTGTTAGTTTTCCCTGTACCAGGCAATGGTTATAATTAAAATGATATGCTGTTGAGAAGCCACTCTTAAGAGTCCAGTTTGTTTAATGTTATGGGCAGCTACCAATTTGTGGTGTCTCTGTATATTTTTGTAAAGATTCTCATTTTTTATGCTTGAAGTATTTGGTGAAAAGATGTTGGTTGACCATAATTTGCAACATTGTCTCATTAAAAATAAACTTTCATATTCATATTTGGTAGAACTGTTAACCTAGAAATGTAGCTTGCTAATAAGATAGAATGATACAAAAGTGAAGTAGTAGCCACAGTACAGCACTGACTGCTCAGACACACTTAGGTTCAGGGTGGGCCTTTATGTCTTGTCAAAATGTCTAGGCCCGGCCGGGCGCGGTGGCTCACGCCTGTAATCCCAGCACTTTGGGAGGCCAAGGCGGGTGGGTCATGAGGTCAGGCGTTCGAGACCAGCCTGACCAACAGGATGAAACCCCCTCTACTAAAAATACAGAATTAGCTGGGTGTGGTGGTGCACGCTTGTAATCCTAGCTATTTGGGAGGCTGAGGCAGGGGAATTGCTGGAACCTGGGAGGTGACAGTTGCAGTGAGCCAAGATTGCATCACTGCACTCTAGCCTGGGTGACAGAATGAGACTCCATCTCAAAAAAAAAAAAAAAGAAATGTCTAGGCCCATGATAATTACTTATGATGAAGTGTGGATTAGTTCTTTTGTTAACCCCACTGTCTTTGGGGAATGATGCCAGCTGAGTTAGGTCGTATTTTCAGGGAGATTGAGTTTTTGACTGAAACATGAAGCCTTCACTGCTTTTTTTCTGGTTCCTGTGAAGATTTGGAACATAGAAAACACAGAAACTTACCTTAAAATTTGAGCAGGTTGATGATGGCAAAAATAATTTTAAGGAGAAAGGAATATTCTTACGTAGTTATTCTAAAGTTTAAGGAGCGTTGTTGACCATAATATTGCTTAGTTTTCTTACTGCTGTTAGAAGGGAGTAAATTGTTTCAAAGTAGGTTTTGTGTGTGTGTGTGTGTGTGTGCGCATAGTGTAAAAGAACTGAAATTTTTTGATGCTTACAGCACTTGGCCTGTGCATTTGTATCAAAATTTGCCTGCCTCTTTATGAGCGAGGCCTGCTTTTCACACCTCAGTTTATTTAATATGAGGCAAGTTGAAAGACAACACTCATTCTAGGCGATTCTGTGGTGCCATGAAATTTAAAATAATTTTGGAAAAAGGATTAGTCAGTTTTAAGCAAGAGTCACATCTTCTGAGTTTTTGATTATCAGTGTAGTACCTGACTAAAAATGAAGTAATACCCTTAACCATTAATAATTTCTAGTATTTTTCTGAAAGATCGTTTTGGGGACAAAAGTGACTTGACATGTCCAATTTCATTTCAGAATAAAAAGCTAGCATCTTTAAAAATCAGATTGCCTGCTTACAGATATAAGTAAGAATTATGGAGAAACAATTCCTTTTAGAGGATTACTTTTTTTCAATTTTGGTTTTTGGAATCTAGGCTTTGCCTGTAAAGAATAAAACGATGGATTTTAAATACTGTTTGTGGAATGTGTTTAAAGGATCGATTATTCTAGAACCTTTGTATATTTGATAGTATTTCTAACTTTAATTTCTTTACTGTTTGCAGTTAATGTTCATGTTCTGCTATGCAATCATTTATATGCACGTTTCTTTAATTTTTTTTAGATTTTCCTGGATGTATAGTTTAAACAACAAAAAGTCTATTTAAAACTGTAGCAGTAGTTTGCAGTTCTAGAAAAGAGGAAAGTTGTGGGGTTAAACTTTGTATTTTCTTTCTTATAGAGGCTTCTAAAAACGTATTTTTATATGTTCTTTTTAACAAATATTGTGTACAACCTTTAAAACATCAATGTTTGGATCAAAACAAGACCCAGCTTATTTTCTGCTTGCTGTAAATTAAGCAAACATGCTATAATAAAAAGAAAATGAAGGAAATAATGATTAACTGGAATTATTACAGTATTGAATATGATTCTAAAATAACAATGGAAACAATCCTTTATAGGTTTAGGAATGTTTTTTATCAGTGTTGCACTAGGCACAAATAACTTTTACTTTGGAAATGGTAGAACTTGCCAGAAAGGTACATCTTTTACACAGTAGTTAAAAATTCATTGTGTAATGTCAGAGTTGTTTAATGATTGCTCATTAAGCCTCTTGGGTTAACTTTAGAGGTTCTTTGGTAGTGTTAAGATAAAATTTGGATCAGCTAATTCTAAGTGTTTACTTTCATATTGGATGGATCAGTAATTCTCTCCCTCTTCATAAACAAATGCATTGGAACTTAATGTTTATGACATGATTTTAAATCAGTTTGAATTGAATGTTGATGAGCAGCTAATATTAAGTGATAACCTCTTCAGGGAAGTAGGTTGTGGTTTGAATTCCATCTACTTTATGACAATTATAGCTGATAATTTATTAAGTATTCATGATGTGCCGGGCACTTGAAAAGGCTATGTGTTAACTCATTTACTCTTCACAAAACCCTATGATATACTTGTATTTTCCCCCTATCACAGATAAGGAAACTGAGGCACAAAGAAAAGACTATGAGGCAGAACCAGGATTTGAGCCCAGGCCTGGTCCTTAGTTATTTTTGTGGGGAGGGGTTTGTTTTGTTTTACAGACTGTAATTTGAGAGAAGTAGATTGAGGAGATAGCTCATTGAAATTGTTCATTCTCTGGGGCCTGATTTTATTTTTATTTTTTACTTATGTCAACTTGTTTTTAAACGTGGACTATTGAGAATCTTATATGTTGTTTCTAAAGTGACACACCCAACAGCTTCAAAAGGACTGTGTTACAGTTGAACCTGTGGTAGTTTGGATGGATCCTACTGGTACTTGATGAGGATCTTTACATAGTGTTTTATTTTAGTTTTGGGTGATGTAGTTGAGTCCCCCACTGAATTGAGTGTACCTACTATGTTTGTGGTACTGGGCTCAATAATAGTAATAGAATGGTTATATCAACATTCAAATGAGGGCTGACACATTTCACCTCTCCTTTTACTTAAGATCTCTCTGCATTTTTTTTTTAAAGCCCAGTAAGCAAGAAGAAAAATGAGAGATAATGCTTCAGTGAGAGAGGAAAGGTGCTACATAGAGTATGAGCTGTTAAGTTACATCCCAGGGGAAAGACCTGGGAACTATTGTATTATTCTCTTGAAAATTTGGCCCAGTAAGCTGCTACATCCAGTTCAACTAACAAAATCCTGTATACCACAGAGAAGAATAAAGAAAACCAAACTGACAAACATCCTTCTTTTATTTAAGACCAAACTGCAGCTGGAATACCCAGTACAGTTCTGCTTACTACACATCAAGAAAGATCTGAAAGCGGAAAAAGAACCAAAGAAGGGCAGTTCAAGCGACCAAAGGGTGGGTGGAAGGTGCTGCAGTATGAATACTGTACGAATATTTTGACTCTGGTCTGAAAAGATAAAAGAATGTTATCGAAAACTACATGGAATAATTGAAGTCCCTTCAAGTTTGAAAGTAAGCATTTTAGGACAAATAAAAGGAAATTCAACTTTGTACTTGTGGAAACTAATCCCTAAATATGAATAGGTTTATATTGATTCATGGGTACCAGATCCATAACAAATTATTGGAAAATAGGATGTCTGAATATCAAGGAAGACAGCCATAGTCTCTTACGGTGCCTCTGTTGGTCTGTCTCAAACTGAATTGGGTGGGAAAAGGTATGGTCCAATATAAAAGTTCCATTTTCGCCATTATTGGCAAATCTTGCCTTTGTTTATTTTGGTGCCAGTGTTTTCTGCTTAATCATTTGCTTTGTTGGCATCTGCATTTATTTACTTGTACACCACATGGCAGTTTACATCTTCCTTAACTACTCTCCTTCCCAGGTAAATTCGAATTACATTTGACATCCAGCTAAGAGGGCCCATCTCTTCTCACCTCTTTACTAGTCAATATGTCCAGCAAATATTTATTGAGCCCTTACTATGGGCAAATCATTGTACTGGATAATTGAGGAGAAAAATAATTCCCTTATTCGGTAAATGTCTACTGAGCACAATCTAGTGAATCATTACAGTATCACCTCGTTTTGTTTGAGGTATATTATTCGTAACAATATTTTACACCATTCATATCTTAATGTAATTATAGAACCCGATATGCTATCAAGAATAAGTAATTATGTGGTTATTCTGCCATTTAAAAGTATCCAGTATTTGTTTGATCCCAATATTACAAATAATGAAAAAATGATTTGTTTTAATCTGTAATAAACTGGTTTATTGTGCAGTGACTGTAATATACTAGAGTTATATTAAAGTGTTCACTCTGCCTCACCAAACACATACTAGGAAATAACCCCCAAAATAAGTATTTAACTTTGCATTAGATAGAAAGGATACTGGGTGCTATAATTAGATTATTTTGAGGCAGACAGCTGTTATCCCAACTGATTTAGTATGTTCTGTAATTGAAAAAATGTTCACCAAATTATACTTTTTAGTGATTTACATGTACATTTTATAGGGGACATGTTCTGTGTATAGTGAATAAATAACTTTTATAGTATCACGAAATGTTTTGGATTCCTTAGTTTCTTATTAGGATGTTTCTTTACCTATGCATTGATTCCATCATGTTTGATTTTTGTCTTCTTTTTGCCACATATTTAAAACTTCCCACGTAAAATTATTAACTAAAAATCTGGAAGTGGAGTTTAAGCTTTTAATTTATAGCAATTTTGAAAATACAGCAGAGGTATATTTTCAAGGGAGGTATGAAATGGTACTTTTGTCTGTATTTCATAATTTTTTTTTTTAACTTGCCCAGGATCACACAGCAAGTGTCAGATCTTAGGTTAAAGTCCATAATTTTTTCGCTTGCTTCATCTTTTGTTATATTTTTGTTGTTGTTTACTCAAACGGGGAAATGTTTTTATAGCTTTATTTTCATGGAGATAGTAAAATTGATATAATGGGAACTAGAATTTACTTAGAGCCAAAATGACTAGATTTAATTACAAAAAGTATTTTGTTGTATACAGTTACACACTCATTAACATAGTGGGTGGTTCTTATGGATAGAGGTTCTCTGTATTTTTAAAAGAATATGTAGAGTTCATAAACGTTTTTTGCCCTCTACCTCCCTTCTTTCTCCATTTGCTTTTGAATTAAGACATTTAAGGGGGAGAATTAAGTTGCATATTGAGTTGGGATTTTGTTTAAAAATAGGTGAATACATATATAAATACAATAACAATAGTTGGTAGTTCTCTAAAATATTGTAAGTCAGAAAAGGACCTTTAATTTTTGCATCTGTTGAATGAATTGCTTTCGGATCTCTTCTGTGGTTGTTTCTCTTTATATTGAATGCTGTCAATATTGTTGAGGACTTATTGTGCCAAACCATGTGCTTTTCAAATATTTAATTCTAAAAACACTCCTGGGAAGTGGGTATTATTCCCATTTTACAGATGAGAAAATTGTCCTTTGTGGAATACCCACCATGTGATAGCATCTTGCATATGTTCATTCCTCACAACTTTACAAGGTAAATGGATAATGTTCCTGGATGAGAGATTAAATATAATCCAAGATCTCACGGCTGTGTGGCTCAGAGACTCTTAAGCATGGCTTTCCAAATCTCATTCTCTTGTAGAGATTTTCCATTGTATTGCATTTTGACGATATTCTTGTTTACAAAACCTAAGAATATATTCTGATGTAGGGAGGCTGTGACTTGAGCAATAGCTTAGGAATGATCTAATGGCATTTTACTAGGAAGGAGGACTAGCAAAACCTGTAGAAGTCCCAGGCATGAACTGTTCTCATTTTAGATAGGATGACTTGATAAATAGGGTGAAGTGAGCAACATGTTTTGTCTTCAGTTATTGATACCTACAAGACATTCTGCTGGTCACTGTGGAAAAGGTTCCTTCTCAGATTTTTTCCTCTGCTCCTTCCTCTAACAGTGTTGGTTATCTTTATTATGTTTCTGTGTATTTGTAACAGCTATTGCACCCTTGTATTGCACAATGGGGATTTTTCTTGGAATAAAAAGTGAGGCATGTAAACTCATTGAGAACTAACAGTAGTTTGTAAAGAAGTAAAAGGACTTTGTATCTAGTTTTTTGCAGATCACATTTCTTTGAATGCTGGAAAGTGAAATAAAGTGGTCTAGGAGCCAAAAAAAAATGTTGGTTTTTTTAAGATTTTGCTCTACCTTAGATTTGTTACCACCCAGGTACACTATTTCCTAATTTGTATAAGAGGTTTTAGAGATGAACTCTGTCCCTCTCAATTAACAAAGTAATTGCCTACGAGAGAATGCAACTAAAACAGTAGAAACAAACTTACACAAAACCTTTCAGATTTTTTCCTGTCTTGTTTTAGGGAAGAAGAAAATTTATCAGTATGTATTTTAAGCTTAAGGTTTGTGACCTGGATTCTATCATAGTATAAACTGCCATCAAAAAGATAAATTGAAATTACTTTTTTTTTTTTTTTTTAAAGACAAAATCTCACTCTAACTTCGCCCAGGCTGGAGTGCAGTGGCACGATCTCAGCTCACTGCAAGCTCCGCCTCCAGAGAAGCTGGGATTATAGGTGTGTGCCACCACTCCTGGCTAATTTTTTCTGTATTTTTAATAGAGATGGGGGTTTCACCATCTTGGCCAGGCTGAACTCCTGACCTCGTGATCCACCTGCCTCAGCCTCTCAAAGTGCTGGGATTACAGGTGTGAGCCACCATGCCTAGTGAAATTACATTTACTGAAGGTTCCCAGTATGGCTGATTTCACAATTGCATTGATTTGGGAAATTCTTACCACTATTCTATATGTAGGCTAACCAAAACTTCTCAGTACCTTTCCTGAAGTATGAGGTGTTTATATGGTTACTTTTATTCAGGTTACCTTTAACCTGCTAAAATTTTTACAGGTAACCTTTTTTC